CATTTTCGTCATGAAATCGTCGAATATCATCAGAACACGCGGGATTTGTGCAGTTTTGAATAAATATAAACAAGTTAGCGATTATGAACAAATGGTTATTAACGTAACACCCGATCTCCTCTGAACTTTTTGTTGCGCATTTTAATGTAAGAAATCGACATTTGAAACCGACTTGGTGTCGATTTCACTAGATGCCATGTTTCATTTATATGCGTATAGCGGATGACTTTAAAAAATAGTATTTATTCATTTTCAACCCCAAGTTACTGTGATCAGATACCCTCGGCATCGAACTAAATATGTTAAGTTCTGTTTCTTAGCAGGAGGTGTTGATATCACAAAGCAGAAATGTATATCCTTTGGGTGTGCTAATCTGGTAGTTGGATGGAGTGAAGTCAATAGCAAGGCAAGGCAGCACATTTGCGAAATTGTAAACCCTATTACAATACTCTTTAGATAAAATATATACCTTTTAAATTTATTATAATTCATTGTAGGAAACATTTAAACTAGAAATGTCGTGTTGACTACAAATCTTTCACAGATTAAAGATTAAAGTAATTATAAAATATGCACCATTTTATTCACGAGATGTGATCTTATATCTAGTACACAGGTTGTTAATTTAGAATTATCAAAGAACAATATGCAAGAACAATCCTTTTTGTTAATATCAGGAAATAAATGTCTGACTCTATGTTAACCGGTCTTATTTAAAACTAACAAAAAACGAAACATGTTGGGTAGGTGTGCATTGATCGCCTCTTTGATAAAACACAATTATGGAATTTGCTAAAATATTACTATTACATTTATTCCTATTGTCCCGTTGAAGATGTCAAATAATGCTGACGTTGTTCGGAGGGGGAAGCAACAACCGATGATAATGTAGAAATGTCAAATGCTGCCAAAGCTATATCAAACTGAACTTCCCGTTAAGTGCTAAGGACAAAAATAGAGATTTTGTACTCATTTCCATAATCGCAATCTCTGTAACAGAGTTGCTATACTGCCTTTTAAATAATCGTAAATCCGATTAACATTTATGTATCAATGAGTGCTATCTTAAAAACAATGTATGGAATATATATGTATAGGTGCTACTTTTTTTTTAATTTAAAAAAGTGCCTAAAAAGGTGCATCTAAACCATGCGTCTACAAATGGTCATTTGGCAGAATCATATAACTACATGAAGTCACGGACGGGGAAAATATTATGCATTTCATCATTAAACGATTTTCCCCTTTTTAAAGCGTGGACCTCGCAGATGTTGGACCGGTGTTAATGTTCAATAGGGGAAAACCGCAATCAACTGACGGAATCAGTCAGAACCAGCGCACACATCAACATTGTATTGATTCCCCGATAGTGATAATACCCGCACGAGCATTAATATATATATATATATAACTGAGTTCACCGTCACTATCTATCAAACACATCGAAATTCAACACGCATAACATGCACAGTGGGAGCTGAGCAACATCAATGTTTGCCTTTGATCATGCTTTTCCAATGGGAGGTAATTATGCTCCTTTTGGTGACTTGATTCATATTCTATACACGAGCAAAGAAAAGAAATCAGCTAGCAAGGGAGCTTTAGTTTTTCTCAGAAATTGATGAATAGCTGAATGATAGAATGTAGTCTGAACTTTCAATTTTAGTCGTACTTTATATATAGTGATTCTTTTATATTCACTGAGATAAAAAAATCACATTTTCTGTGCGCGCGCCGTACCTGAATGTTTACCTTGAATTCGCTTCAGATACTCCTCCGTTTACCAGATCGCGTTTCAATTATCTCCAACCTCCAGGGTATATGCATTCCCCAGCTCATTCATACTTTATTCTTTAGTACATGTTTATATACGCCTAGTTCTCGAAGCGAAATATTTTTGTCTCTTCTAAAATAATAAATCATTTGTTCTCCAGTGAACTATTTTTCTCGATACTCGGGAGGTTTATTCGAGGATGTCACGTGGTTATTGACAGACTGGAACTTCGAGTTGGCAGATTGAGTTACATAAATATGTTCACAGAATCTGTATGTCTATATACCCTCAACCAAAATGGCCGTCACGATCTCGTTGTGGGCTAGAGAGCAACTCGTGGTTCTCTTGCTCTCTCAACGGGATAACGGCGACGATTTGTAGAACATAGCTTGCTAATCAAAACTATCTTTGGTATACCCTGTTATGTGTCATCTTGATATATACGGACAACCACGTTTTTTTCAGCTTATTGATTTCATAAAGAATATTTTATTGTATGTGCCATGTTATATTTACCTCCATATATTCCGGCGGATTATAATTGAAAGGCGGTTCTTTGAGACGTCTAATAACCTCCTCTTCAAACGCTATATATTCGTCAGTGTGTGGGATGAGCACATCTACATTAAATACAGCAGCATAAGCTAACTTAGCCATTGCGTCTCTACCATCGTCACCCATCCACGTGTTCACGCCTTTATAAGACCCCGACCGCATGCCAATAGTCAGGAATATGTAGTCGCCGTTTATCAAACTCAGGTCAAAAGCGGTCAGCATGATATCCCGGATGTCTCCATCAGACGCGCATATTATGAAAACTATAGAACAGACAATGAAAACCAATAAGCATGATTATATTTGGATATTCATTAATTTGCAAACAATCATTTAATTTTACGTCTAATCCCATCAGAGTAAAAAGCACATAAAGTCTATCGCAATAATGACATTATGTTTGTTCAATATTATTCATTCATTTATTTGCAAATTGAAGTGACTGTACATACACTTTACTTGAGTAGTCATTGCCGAATGTGTTAATGTGTGGGGAAAACAATACATCAGCTCAAATGCTTTGGCAGGACTGTGTGCGTTACACATGAAATAACACACATCGCATGTAATAATGAATATTTAACTATTTCATATATAATTGTTTCGCTAAAATGAGTACCATTATTACTTGACACAAAAATATTTACTACAATTTAAAGAAAAATGGTTTATTACATCATGATACTTCGATTCATGATTCTGTCAGTTTGTATCAATATTGTAAAACAAAAATCAATAGAACTCAGAATATTTATAGAGTCACACGGGTAACATGTACAACCTTCTTCCATTAATTGATTCCAAATAATGATTTGATATCACGTAAAGCAACGTCGCAATCGATTTGACCAATTAAGTATGTTAACTATATTAGGCTTTTCACAAAAAACATCCTAAATCCGGAAAATAATGTATTTATTATTGTGGGTTTTTGTGGATGATATGTTAGTAAAATATTATAATATTACTACTTTATATGCAGTGATGCAGTAGTACATATCTTGATACTGAGATATTGATACTAAGATAAATATAATAACAATCATTAAGACTTTATTATGAGACAAAAATATACAGGAATTAAATAATACATGCTCTCATTGTAGGGAGAGGAATTACACGTATTGTAATTCTTCACAATAAGTGCATATTATTGAGTATATAGTAGGTATCTCGACAGCTTTTATCGTGTTTAGTTACGACGATGTGAATTATTGAGAACGTAAACGACCTTTATTATATATTGATTGTTTGAAAACAGTTTTCAATGTATTGGGTACTACCTGGGGTTATTTTATATGCTGTGGAACGAGGACGTAGTTGGATCGTATTATAGGACGTTGGTTAAGAATAGTACAATGAAATTAGTAATTACAGATGATTCGGTTACATTATCGGGCAATTCTGGTAATATACATAAACGTAACCCCGGGTAATGGTGATATAACATTTGAAATACAATTAAAAATAAGAGTTTTTATCTGAATAATACATTGGTGTGATGTTGTTCTTATCAGGAAAGTAACACTTACTTCTAGTAACCAACAGAGAATCGTCCAGCACATGACTGTGTTCCAATGCAACTTTTTCCGATATATGTTCGTTCCCGGGGTCGAAGGTGTGGAATGTCACAACCTCAATGCCATAGTCCTGTAGATCTAATAGAATGTCATGAGAAGTGAGTTGCCACATGTGTGATGTAGATGACAAAATGGCAACTCTTGTCCAATTATAGTATTTCATGATTTCTACAAACATACGTCCTGTTTTAGTATAAGGACCGACAGTTCTAGCGAATGTCTCATATTCGAACTTGTCCGAAAGATAACTCGAAGTACAGCCCCATGAAACCATGGGAATATTCCAAGATGAGGCCAATAGTCCGACTGGCTCACACATTTCGTCGCATCCACCACCGATAAGCGCATGAGGTTGTGTCGTACTCCATAGATTCACGGCTTCCGTGAGTCCCTGTTTTTCAGTGCATCCAGTATCTTTCCATACAAACTGCAACGTCCTGTTTGGTAATATATTGTGATTACTGTTAATATAATCGACGGCGACTGAAACTGCTCCACCAATACTCCTACCTATGCTCCATGAACCCGTCCAAGGAAGTAGAACTCCAATGGTAATATTGTTGTCCTGTCCGTTCACTGACAAAACAAAGCTAATTACCATAATCGTCCCTGAATACGATCCCAACATAGCTTCGTTTTCGGATTCAGCCAATACTTTCACTCGTTCGGCACGTATAACGTAAATTTTCAACACAACAATCCTCTATACATTGCCATGCCCAAGTTAATAACGTATTCACTCCACGCACTGCTTCTGTGAATAGAAGACGCAGATATAATAACCAAGTAACATTTTTTGAAAACAAATTTGTGATTACTACTGAATATAACCTCTCTTTAGCTCAATACTGCAGACATATTTACGCCGTGTGACGTAGCTTATGAGTTGATCTATATAGAGCTGTGTACTATTGTCATTCAGCTAGGAGCTTTCTGATTGGTCGACGAATCGACTTTTCATCCAGGAAGCTTGTACAAACTCCCGCTGCACAGACAAAAATCTATCAGTGTGGCAATGGTGTTATTTTTACAATATGATGAATATAAGCCACGCCCATTGCTAGCACACATAGGTCGAGTTATGATTTGCGCAATTTAATAATGCAGTTCAAACGTTCACACTCACATACACATCTCCACATCAACGCTCAATTGTTTAACGCGACTGTCTCTTTGGGCGTGTTTTAATAATCAACGTATCCTGCTAGTTTTTAAAAAGTAGTCAAATTCAATTGTTTTAAACGTTACGTCGATTGTTCTAAATTTTAATTGTAGTGCAATATTGTAATGTATTATTAGGAACACAGTCGAAACAGACAAATCTCAAGGGCGATTCCGACATACACATTAGTCATGCGGAATCACTATTTCCATATTACATCAATGAACGCAACCCTTAGACAGAAAGTGGCGTCACTGCATTTAAAAGTCTGAAAACACTAGAGTGATACATTGAATGCATCTTACACGTGGGGATACACTACGTTATATAAAGTACATCTCAAAATCGTGGGATGTGTATTCAAACTGTCACGAAGTGGAGATTGTATTTATTTCTTTTGTAACGACTTTTCAATCTTCTTCGTGCGCTTGATGTAATTTGCATAACGGAGCGCATTTGATTAGACACAGTTTACTGTTAGTTTACCTCTGTTGTAATTCATATTTTGATTGTTAATAGGGCAAGGTCAGCTACTACATTTTACTGCTGTGCACATACCCTAGCCCAGAGAACAGCAGACTGTTATGGCATTTATTCGGAGAATCGGGACCGGTGAAACTAGTTTATACTGTAATATGAAGTTGCATTTTGTCAGATGTTCGAAACCTGTCTGAACCCGGAAAAAATCAGATAGTAATACATTCCTCACACTTATAAATAAAAACAGAACAATACATAATATTCTATTGACCCTTTGTGTAAGTTAATAGCGCCGCAATTTGGTCTCAAATTGGATCGAATATCGTGACACTTAGAGGTTTTTCGCGATATCGATGATAATTATCGTATGTGAAATTACTTCACAGAGAAACACGTGAAAGGCTGACTACAATAATCTGGACGAGTGAAACAAGTAGCAAGCCGCTTATATCCGATATCACAGTTTCTCATATAATAAATGTCGATTTTTGACATAAGCGAAGACATTTGTTTAATTATCCCATATGTAGACAGTTCAGTGTAACAAAGCAGTGTACTAATTTTCTGTATCTCTATACCATGTAATAACAAATTCCGGCAATCTGATTAGTCCGTGCAAGCAACGGAGCATTTGACATCATGGCTGACTATTGCAAAATAAGTTAATATTTCGGGTTATTTGTGGTTTTACGCAATATTTCTCGAAATATCCACACACTAAAGTTGTGTCCACCTATTTCGAGCGGCGATTCGTCACGGTTTGTAAACCAACCACGGTTTGAATTGAATTATGATCTGAATGCATCTCCAGTTTATTTCTTAATCACAATAAGGTGAACTAATGATAATCAATGTACGGCGATTGGTTGTGCAAATGAGCCAAAACGCTCGGCGATCACAAACTACAATCTCTGTTTTAGTTTCCAGCCGTTAGAAGCTGCAAAATGGATACATGGTATAAACAAAATAGCAAATTGTAATATCGTAGTGTCATTCATGAGATATAACCTATATAATACACAATCTGTCTGTTGATAACATCAGCTGATTATCATTATATATCAAATCTTAATTTGTGTAAATATTTAAGTCTAAAATATATTAATAAATTAAACTTTTTTAAATAAAATTACTGCAAAATACAGATTGGGGAGCATATGAAATTTTTACATTCTCTATTTAAGAAAGCTCGTTTCTAACATGGTATGGTGGGCAATATTACTGCCAAATGCACTGTCCAAAGAGAAAATTAGTTTACAGCTGTTAATTTCCACATTGTAATTACGAATTACAGTATCCAACGAAATAACAGTCACGCAAATGTGACGTCATTGCTAAGCAATCATGCTACACACCTTTCATGAAAGAGATAACCTTTTGTTTGTGGTGTATTTCCGAGTGGAAGGGGATACAAAATAGCCTACATGTGCTCATTTTTAATATTATTCTGATATGATGTTGAAGTATGTTACGTGCTGTATAATATTGTCTATATTATGTTGCAAAACCTTTCCGTGTAAATTAATTACCTTGTGTTATGTAACAAACGTAATAGTCACGGCTTTGAACTGACATCCGGGTCAGACGAGTCTTGTAAATTGTTGAAAAGTATCACCAGCTTGGGACGTTATCAATTCGCTGAATCACAAGGAGAGTTTACCGATCAACGAGTTGAAGATAACTTTAGAACAAAATCAAAATTGTCATAAGGACCTTTCGTTTTTGTATATATGAGAAGTAACTTTGTACTGCACTATGAAATAATTTACATTTTTATGAGAACATTTAAATTAAATTAGAAACTATTGGTGACAACCTTTTGGCGACACGAGTATGGTTGATGCACGTATAAATAGTGTTGGACATACTACTAAGTATACACTGTAAATGTTCGAATATGTTGCTATGACGACATTTTGATATTCACGACAAGAACCGAATATTTTATAAAGCTTGAGTAAAAGTAAACACCAACAGTCTAAATTTTAATTGAATTCACTGGAGGCAACAGAGAGCCTCATCATGACGTGAAGAATAATTCACGCTAATAAATAGGTCAAATACATTGCTTACATTAATATAAATAATTCAAAATAAATTCAAATTTAAGGTAAAGATTTGATTGTTATAAAGTGTTAGAATTAATTATGTATTATTTACTTTTAATTATGTTCGACACATTGTAATTTGAAAACTAAACGTATTATCGAAAACACCAGACGCTCTATTGCAGATGAACTACCACTACAATAAGTTACAGCGTGCCGTAATTTTGCGTCAGTCGATACTCCAGCTGTACTGTCTTTGTGCAAACTTTGAGGTATCCTCGAAAATAACCTCAAATTATTTTTTGCATTTTCTAACAATTTGAGTGTGTTATGTCCACCCCCTAGAGTCAATAATTTTAAAATATATAAGAAAGACATTTTGTAAGTGTGCTAAGTGCCTATTGATCTATGAACCTGCATCTATAAATATTAAATAATAATAGTGTCACGTGCACATATGTCAATTGCACGCGTGCGTTTACTGTAACACTGCCCAAAACCTTACATTTTATAGAAAAAAGTTAGTATATGCAAGATTAAACTATTAATTTGCCAACTGTGCATGCTCCGAATGAGATTAGTTAGGAGTATACACAATAAAATTCCGTATCTTAGCGTGATCTCTGTGGGTATCAAGAGATTGGTTTAATATAAAGCAATTACGCGTTGTATTCGCTGCGCGTTTATATCAGTACGATTACATGTGAACACGTACATATGTCAGAAACACCGTGCACAACGCACAGTATGCCCTTGGCAGTTACTGTATTGATACATGAGTAAAAGTATATGTTAAGGTCAATCACGTCACTCGCTCAAAAAAAAACAACAACATACCAATATTGCTTCTCGCATTAAAACATGTTATCTTTGGTATTAGCCGCGAATGAATTCTTTATTATATGGGAAACTGCATCCGTACATTAGCCTCGAAACTGACCAAAAGATAGAAGACGAGCTCAAAAGCGTATTCGAGGAATGCAGCAGAATTGTGCCGAATTGTTGACTGAAAATATATTAAAACTAGCGAATGTATTTCCTGATATATTGCTATGTACTGAATAAATAAATGTTGCAAACAATTGACACATTAAGAACCGCCCGAGCGTGTTACCAACAATTTTAGCGTTGGTCGAAAATGAATAAAGTATAGCGAATCAGAATAGTTCCGTTGTCTATATCGATAACGATTACGTAAATTTATACTACAAAGTGACCAGCACTGGCACGGTTGTAGGAAAAAGGGTAGTATCTCTTAATTCGTAGCGTAGCGCTTTTTGTGCCATTGCTATTTTTAGCCTTAGGTAAAAATTATAACACAAAGTGAAAGCTATAGCACAATGATGATTTGATACGGCACAATTTGCCCGCCGCTCAAACAATGTGACACCTCGAATAACACAGTAGCTTATATGATAATAAGAGTATTGGTGGTTGATATTACACAAGCCCGTTATATGTGACATATTTTCGTCTATTTACAATAACACTTCATATACCTACAGTAAATTGTAAAATAAATTGCAAGCCAGAAGGGGAATTTCTATCAATATAATTTGCACAACGTTTACATACTAGTTTAATTACACATATAATCGTGGATAAGAGTCAAAGCCGTCGACAATACAAGAATCAGAAGGGAAAGATGGATCAATTCTTATGAATCAACTATTAATTTCTAGGTATATGAGACGACATATTGTTTACGAAAATGGGGAAGGGATATTACTGTATGAATTATTGACTTTTCTTGATGAAAATCAATTGTTTGCATCGATTAGGCATACCTTGCTGACCAAAATCACACGCGCCGTAATTCCTTCAAACAGTATTGAAAACACCAAGAAACGTAGACTTGATCCCGACGAGTCACACATATAGGAATGCTGTTTTCACATTATTTGAGTTACA